AAAAATCTGAAAAATACCCAAGGCTATAGTCCATGGTTTTTTCCAAAAAATGGCTCTGAAATCACCCCAAATTTGTATTACATTTTTTGATACATATTGATGCCCTTATGCTGTGTAGAAAGTTTGAGGTGATTCCAACTTTAATTTTTCAAGTTACGACCATTTTAAGAAAATGGCAAAATTCTGAAAAATACCCTGTACTATATAGCCCATGGTTTTTTCCAAAAAATGGCTCCGAAATCATCCCAAATTTTTATTACATTTTCTGATACATATTGATGCCCTTATGCTGTGTAGAAAGTTTGAGCTGATTCCAACTTTAATTTTTCAAGTTACGACCATTTTAAGAAAATGGCAAAATTCTGAAAAATACCCTGTACTATAGCCCATGGTTTTTTCCAAAAAATGGCTCCGAAATCATCCCAAATTTTTATTACATTTTCTGATACATATTGATGCCCTTATGCTGTGTAGAAAGTTTGAGTTGATTCCGACTTCAATTTTATACATGTAGATGTTATTATTGTCTGTACACTGCAGGTGGTCCATGAGTTGTTAGCATTGGAACTGCTGACTGTATTACTGGAAGATCCTACAAGTGATTCTGTTGAAGTTGCTGTAGGTTTTTTAAAAGAGTGCGGACAGAAACTAACAGATCTCTCACCACGAGGAATAATAGGTAAGAAAAATAATAATAAAGTTAGAAAAATACTCTTCTCCTTCTCTCTCGTCCTCAGGCGTTTTTGAAAGTCTTAAAGCGATCCTCCATGATGCGAGTGTGGACATAAGAGTACAATACATGATAGAGGTGATGTTTGCTATTAGAAAGGACAAGTTTGCCGACTACCCATCAATTGTGGAAGGCCTAGATCTCATTAACGAAGATGATCAAATTACTCACCTGATTTCATTAGATGATCAGCTAGATGGAGAAGACAATATTAGTAAGTGTTGCTATTTATAGACAAGGCATTACATCATATATGTCACTATTTTTATACTGATAATAGCCCATTTTTAATGTCGCTATTTTTAGACACATTACATCATCACAGTGTTACTATTTATATAACTGACCTTTACTCTGTTACTATTTATAGACGTGTTTAAGGTTGACGATGAATATCAAGAGAATGAGGATCGGTACAAGTCAATAAAGGAGGAGATACTGGGGGAGGGGTCTTCTGACGAGGAGGAAGGAGAGAGTGATGATGAGGAAGAGAGTGAGGAGGAGGAGGAGGAGGGGGAGGGAGGAGAAATGAAGATCATAGACGAAACTCAAACTGACATGTTAGAACTAAGAAGAACCATATATCTTACTATCATGTCAAGGTATGTGTATATTAATATTATTATTATTATTATTATTATTATTATTATTATTATTATTATATTTTAGTTTGGATTTTGAAGAATGTGCTCATAAACTTCTTAAAATGGAGTTCAAGCCAGGACAAGAGGTTTGTATATCATTCATTTTACTCCCTTTTAACCACACCCCTTCCTTATAGTCTGAAGTGGCTAACATGATTATAGAGTGCTGTAGCCAGGAGAGGTCCTACCAACGGTTCTATGGTCTTTTGGGAGAAAGATTTTGCCACCTGGAGGAGAAGTGGGTGGAGAACTTTGATGCCGCCTTTCAAGAACAAGTAAGAGAGAACAATATTTATTCATTTATTTATTCAATCATTTATTTATTCATTTATTTTATTTATTCCTAGTATGCTACTGTACACAGATTAGAAACCAACAAACTCCGCAATACTTCAAAGTTTTTTGCTCAGTTATTTTATACTGATGCACTACCCTGGACCTGCCTCTCTTGCATACATTTGAATGAAGAAGAAACGAACTCCTCAAGGTATGTCATGTGATCATCATGTGACTATTATTAATTGTTAATATTCTCTCTATTAGTCGTATATTCATTAAAATTTTATTTCAAGAGTTAGCTGAATACATGGGCCTACAGAAGCTTAATGAGAGACTCAAAGATCCGTAAGTTATCAATATCACATGATTCTCGTGTGACTTGGTTTATTTTTAGAACTCTCTCGGCTTTTTTTGAAGGTCTCATGCCACGAGACAACCCAAAGAATACAAGATTTTCAATTAATTTCTTCACGTCAATAGGTTTAGGAGGATTAACGTGAGTAATGAATATTAATTAAGTTATTATGATTCATGATGTCATAATTAACTTGCTTGTTAATGTGTCATATGACATCACAATTGATAAAACTTTGCTGTGTTATTTAAAAAATTTTTTAGTGATGACTTGAGAGAACATTTAAAGAATGCTCCAAAGAACATAATGGACCAGGAACAGGACGTTGACACCTCGTCTGATTCTGACTCTGATTCTGATTCTGATTCAAGCTCTGGTAGGTGGACTGTTAAATTGATATTTTATTTATTTACATGTATTTGTTTTTTCTTTATTATTTAGATGAGGACAGCTCTAGTGATACTAGTAGTTCTAGTGAAGAGGAAAAGACTTCAAGTAAGAAGAGATCAAAAAGAGGAGGAGGAGGAAATGGAGGAGATAAGAAGAAACTGGAAACAGAAAAGATGAGAAGGAAGAAGGAGACAAGGTGAGTACTGTAGTATTTAAAATTAATTAAAAATTAATTGAAAATCAATGAAAAATTCAGAAAATAATCCATTAAAATTAATTAAGATGGATTTAAAATGAAGGTGTCCAGCCGATTTTTTATTATCTTGGCAAGCATGCGCTGAGAACATGTCATCATTATATGAATATTTTAAAAGAAAATCATGTTATAGGAAGGACAGCAGTTCACCTTCTCCCCCTCCTGTCTCTCGTAATAAGAGGAGGTCCCCCTCTCCAGAAAGAAGGAGGAGAAGAGAATCACCAGGAGAGAAGAGAAGAGGATCACCAGTAGAAACAAGGAGGAGGGGATCACCAGTAGAAAAGAAAAAGGGATCAACAGTGGAGAGGAAAAGGGGATCACCTGACAGGAGGAGAGGATCACCAGAAAGAGCAAAGAGATCACCTGACAGAAGAAAGAGGTCACCAGTAGAGAGGAGAAAGGGATCACCACCAGAAAGAAGAAGAGTGTCACCGGATAGCAGTAGGAGAAAATCCAGAAGAGAAGCATCAAGTTCCCCTGAAGACAGGAGAAGAAGTTCTCCTGCAATGAAGGATAGGAGGGATCGCTCTCCTCCTCAAAGAAGGAGGCATGATTCTCCGGAAGAAGAAGAGGAAAGGATCAAAAGAAAGAGACATTCACCAGAAAGAAGGAGAGATAGATCAACTGAAAGAAGAAGGGATAGGTCAACTGAGAGAAGAAGGGATAGGTCACCAGAAAGAAGGAGGAGAGATTCACCTCATGAGAGAAGAGATAAAAGGAACCGTTCACCTCATCGCCGTTGATGTACTAAAACCTTCTTAATTCTTAATAATTCTACTTTTAATAATAATTGATAATAATAAATGAAGATAACTGATGAGTTACTATGTTAAAACTATTGAGCTCAGATAATGAATGAGTGTGAATGGAATGATGCATTTATACAAACCTATTGTGCTATGATGATAAGTAATAATAATTAAGGATTTGAGTCAGTATAATCATGTATTGTTTTTGAATTTCTTGCTCCATTACATCACCCTATAAAGAGAGAAACACTTCAATAGTAACACGAATGATTGTAGCAACATTTATGATCATAAAATATGCATATCATGTCTGCTATGTATAGTAACATGTTGTATCAGTGATATTATGAGTGGTTATATGTAGTAATGTCATCATTTCCTTTGTTAACCTGGGGTTCCCTGCTCCTCCACGTTGCAGCTGTGCTTGCAGCATTGCCATTTGCCGCTTCATTTCTTCAATCTAATAGTACACATATGCATTGTTAGCCGGTGGTTAATGATGAGTGGATTCACACCCACCACTCCCTTGCAGAATACTCACCTCTCTCTCTTTAGCTAGCAGCATAGCATCACCACCTCCTGCTCCTCCTCCACTGGTTACTCCTATAAACTGCTGCAAGTCGCTATAAAACGAAGCAAGTATCTGTCAATAGTCTCCTTTATTTCTATAGTACTATACCATACCTGTGCTCTTGCTTCAGTTTTTTCTTTCTAAAGTTCTCATAGTGAATGTCTTGAGTGCAGTCTTTCAGATCCTGCATGTGAGTGTTGATCAGCATGCTCTTCAACAGGAGGAAATCACAATGATCTTTATTCTCAACTGCAAGGAAACAAAAAAGTAGCAAAGTACAACACTGCAGGTGCATAAAGCATTATACCTTGGACCAGCCCCCATGGATATGATCTGCCTCGCACTTTCTCACCAGCAAGACGATGATACTCTGTACTACCAACAACTGCCATTGGGATAGCATTCTAAAGAGATGGTGATAGACTTATGAGGTTAAGCTCCTGGTTGTACCATTATTTCAAATATTTCTGGTGAATCTTCCTCTTCCTCAATCTGTCCAGTGTATATCTGTATCCCATTCTCATTTATCTCATTCAGTAACTACAAGTGGGATTTTAATAAAAACCAAAAAATACTCTTAATCTTTTTACTCTAGTTTTGAGTTTCTTCTTTTCAATGTCTGTGAGAGTATCAGCCTTTGCAATGACAGGTACTACATTGACCAATTTGTGGAGCTCCTGCATGCACTTAATATCCAATGGCTTGAGCCTGCAAGTATATAATTATAATAATGCATTAGTTTATGGAGCTACAAGCATGAACATTAAAAGTACAAGAATGCGGTGAATTCCGAAAGTGATGACAAAATAATTATACCAAATTTGTAGATTGTGTATGCAAATTGTTAAAGTACATAACTATACATGCTTTATGCTATTCCTCTTACTGGTGACAGCTTGGATTGATGAAATAAAGGCAGCAGTGGACGCGATTGTCCTCAATATTTGGTCGATTGAAACCGGACTCATCTTCATAATACTGATCATACTTCTGATTGATGAAATCAACGATTGGCTGCCAACTGCATGTGTGTGCGAAAACAAGACAAAAAACAACAGACTATTGTTGACATTCCTAATCATTAAGAGTACATGCATGAAACCTTGTTAGTATACATTGAGTGCATGTTTCTGCACCCAACAACATCACTGGAACATTCCTTGCAGTAGTGAAATCTTTTGTATCCAGTTTATGCATGAGGTCAACTTATGCTTTGGATGAATGAGTACATATATGTAGTTTTAAGTATTATTTGTTATTATTATTATTATTATTATTTATTTTTTGCTGTACCAGTTTGAGCTGTCGATTGATTCGCCAAATCCTGGGGTATCTACGACCGTTAGTTTCATCTTAACACCTCTCGGGTCGTCAAAGGGTTCTATGTCAGCTGTTACAGTCTCAATGGTTGTGGTAGGCTGGATGCTGTGAGATGCAGCTAGAGAGGGAGAGATTTGATTATTAGCTTATCGTGTTCAGTTTTAATGCATCTACCAGAAGATGTGGCAATTGAGTTGCCAAATAGTGACTGTATGAGTGTTGATTTGCCAAGACCAGATTCACCTAAAATGTAATAACAAGACAAGAGATATACATTAAATATAAAACTACAGACTACAGTGGTCTTTCAAGTCCCATTACTTTACTTACCAACCACCATTAGTGTGAACCTAAATCCTTTCTTCATTGACTTCCTATGGGCCATGTAAGGCAGATTGTGAAAACCAAGATGCCTGGACATTTTGAGCTCCTCTTAGTAAGACTTCTACCTCACAGAAAGAGAGAGAGACAGAGAAAGTGTATAAACTGCTCTTTCTTCCTTTAGGAATGAATGCCAGTAGATCCTCCTCTTAGCTCAGGAATGCAGGATAATATGACACACACATTCAATCACTCACTACCTCCACTAGTCAGTAGTATAGGAAGTATTATCTATTCCCAGGCCCAGTTATAATTCAATTTTGGCTCAATATACAAAAGCACTGTGCATACAATATTATATCACTGTTATAGTGTCAACTTTGAAAGTTGTACTACATAAATTAAAATTTATTTTTGGGCACCTTGTTTACACCTAGAGGTGTAAATTGAAGTGTAAACAAAAAAGGAAGTTACAATTTTTTTTCATTCCCATTTATAATTTACTGATTTTTTGAGTGCCTATATTAACAACTAACATGATCATTTTTCTTTTTTTTTACATTTTAAACCAAAACAATTTTTAAGCAATTGCCACACAATTACTATTAAAAATAAGAAAAAAAAATGGAAAAAACATCAAAACATCATGAATAACAATAGCAATTAAGTCTCTTATAATAATAATAATAATAATAATAATAATGATAATAATCTCTTAATTAATTATTAAATTAGAGCAGTAATATATAATTACTCTCTGTCTTTCTCTAGATATGAAAAGGGAATCATAAAAAATAATGACGGTAGTAATTGAGTAAGAAAAAGAAAAGAAACAAGAGGCGGACGACCAAGAGAGTCTCAAACGACGTCATTCCCAGTACGGAGCTGAGCCTGTAGGCGAGCCATCTCAAGACGCATCATCTCAAGCTAAGGAAGAGAGAGAGAGAGTGATAGTATTAGAATTAAGTGTAACTGAGCTCCAAAAGGCATCAATGTGTATCAAAAAATTGGGAGTAATTTCGGAGCCATTATTTGGAAAAAAAACATGCACAGGGACTTTGGCTGGTGTTTTAAGCAGCTTTAAAAATCCAAAGTTGATCAGAATCAGCTCAAACTTTCTACACAACACAAGGTATAGTAGAGTGTCTATTACCTCTCTCTCTTTGGCCTTCAGTATTTCATCCTGGACATTTCCACCTGCAACTGATGCCACAACACCTGCAAAATCCATCGCACCACCAGGACCACTAGAAATATAAGAAATAATTAATTAATTAAAATCAGAGAGTAATTTTATAACTATTACATGTACAGGCTAATGACCACACCTACTCTTAATTACCTGGCAAGAGGGGATCCCTGGAGGAGTTTCTTCTTACGAAAGTTTTCGTAATGAACGTCTTGAGTATAGTCCTTCAGATCCTGCATGTGAGTCCGTATCAACATGTTACGCAATAGAATGTAATCGCAATGTTCCTTGTTTTCAACTAGGAAGAAATAAAAATATAAATAATAATAAATAAACTAGACGAATGTAAAACATTAAGGGGCTCAGCCCCCTAGCCATGCTATATTTTAAAGGTTATATGGTATAGAGCTACATTATTGTACATGTACATGAGTAAATACAGTAGTTTGTACGTTTGTAATGAAGTTATCATGCTTGGAAATACAAATTTTCTTTATCAGTTTATCACATTCTGCAGCAAAAAAGTTGTGTTGGAAGCCAGAGACAGTAACTGCAGTCATAGGTTAGTCAGTAGTTGTGAGGGCTTTACAAGCTCACAGTAGAGACTTCTCTTGCATTCTTGCTGACTCAAGTGAGTGACTTGTAACTTATAAGGTCAAGAACATGAAGAACAATGAAGAATTGATAGCTGGCGCCATTTTATTTCACTGTGACCACGCCCGTTTTCAAAGAAGATTAAGATTAGGTTATTAAAATAGGAAAATTTTTCATACGGATAAATAGGGGTGACGTACGTGTACAGACAGACATACTCTACTCGAACTAGTGGGCTTCGCCCAATAATAATTAATCTTACTTTCAACCACGCCCCACGGATACAAACGCCCGCGGACTCTCTTATTCCCAACCTCCAGTAAAGTGGTGCTCCCTACCACAGCCATTGGGATAGCATCCTGCGAAAAATAAAAGGGCGGAGTCAGTACGTTGCTACGGTAACAGTACTTACCCTAAGTTCTCTTATTTCGGGCGAGTCGTCTTCTTCGTCTATTTCTCCGTTATATATCCTGATCCCGTTGTCAGAGATTTCTTGTAAAATCTGAGGAGAAAGAGAATGAAGAAACAAAACAATATTATATACAAAAATCGATAGAGAAGGCTTTACCCTTGTTTTGAGTGTCCTGACTTCAGTTTGGGTTAGAGTGTCTGATTTGGCGATGACAGGAATTATGTTCACCAAATTATGGAGCTCCTTCATAAATGCAATATCTAGGGGCTTCAGTCTACACAATAAAGACAAGTAATTGAGTCAAATTTGTTAGGAACCACAAAAATAAGCATGGGTGACCCAGTAAAATTTTATGCGGCTCAAATAAGTAAGCAGGTGCTAATGTATACACATCATTTGCTTGTTGATAATAATGTAAATAAACAAGTGGTCATTGTAGGGTACATAAGAAGAAGTACTGTATGTAACACAACATAACTTAATGATACTAGTACAGTGTAGCCTCTATAATAAGGACACCTTTATAATGAGGACATTTTGTAATGTCCCACTTGGTACAAACCTATACAAAAGTACCTCTGAAATGAGGACACCTCTGTACTAAGGACAGGTACATGTACATGTAGTTTGGGCCCAATGGTGTCCATAATGTATGCATATGTGAGTGAGTGTGTGGGTGGTAAGATGTTACAGTGTGTATTATGATAGGGAGTGGGTTACTATGTGTACATGTACTATTAAATCACTAATGGGCAATTACTAGCTACTAACATCAACAACAAAGTTAATTTACAAATTCTTAGCAAGTCAAAACTATAAACCAAATATCAATATCATCTCTTTGAACCAAACCTCACTCTCTCCTCCCCCTCCTTCTCTCTCCTTCCCTCCCTCTCTCTTTCTCTCCCTCTCTCTCCCCTCTTCTGTCCAATCAATCATTCTTCTTTTCATTCAAATTACACTTTAATTAATACTGGATCACTAGGGGCTTACCCATGGCCAGAAGGACTGATAAAGTAAAGGCAGCAGTGAACCCGGTGGTCTTCAATGTTCCTCCTGTTAATTCCGGACTCGTCTTTAAAGTACTGATCATACTTCTCGTTAATGAAATCAATGATTGGTTGCCAGCTGCAAGTAGGTAAGCATTAATAATAATAAAAGTAATATACATAGCACATGTAAATGATAGTGTAACACAATTATGAAGAAACCAATTCTAAGCTCAAATGTTTCAAATTTCAAATCTTTTAAGGGATAATTATCAAATTAATAACATTAACTCTTTAATTACCATTCTCTGTTGTCTACGGCGTCACCAAAGCCCGGGGTGTCAACCACGGTGAGTCTCAGTTTAACACCTTTCTCTTCAATGTCGACTGTCGTAGCATCAATACTAGGAGTGGGTTTTATACGCTCTGAGGGAGAGAGGGAGAGAGAGAGAGGGAGAGAGAGAGAGAGAGAGAGGGAGAGAGAGAGAGAGAGGGAGAGGAGGAGAGAGAGATTAAAACATCATTAAATAATAAAATGGAGCAGTTCCAGCTTACCAGCTGCTGGAGGACATGTTTTGTTGCCAAACAAATTCGTCAAAAAAAGCGAACGGACTAAAGTAGACTTTCCAAGGCCAGACTCGCCTAAAATATACAAAGATATACTGATGTTATACTAACATGAAAATTACAAGTTCAGGCTGTATTCTGAATGTACATGACTACATGCATTAGAAATAAGAGCATAGAAGGATTTATATTATTATTCTTCTTGCTGCTCACCTACGACCATGATTGTAAATTCGAAGCCTTTCTTCACTGATTTTCTGTGAGCCAGAAAAGGAAGATTATGAAACCCTAAAGAGTTGGACATCGTCTCCTCCTTCCCTCCTGATCCCGTATAAAGATGGAGCAATAAGAATGAAGGACTATCCTAAAAGACAGAAGGGGCAGGAACGTGTTCTCCTCTTCAGTTGAAGGAATGCAAATTGACCATACCGTATTACATCTTAGTACAAGCATTAGAACTAAAGTAATTTTGAAATTTCTTTAGTAGGTGGAGTTTGGCACACCCATCATTTTAATTAGGTGATTCTAATTATTCGTGTAGAAAATAAAATCAAAAGTTTCTCAGCCAACCAGACAGCCACTCTCTCCTTTTCTTGCTGTTCTTTGTTTCTGTCTCTCGCCCTCTCTATTAGGAGGTCACCATGAACCCCGTAGGAGGAGGTGGTGGATTATTCAAAGTCCCCAGTGGAGGAGTAATAGTCACTGATTCTCTATCTTCAAGATCAGTCCCGCCCACTCAAACATCAGTGGTGGGTGGAGCTAGACACGCCCACCCTATACCAGGGAAGAACCTAATGGACGTGTCGATGTCTCGAGCTATGACCACGCCCACCCCTAGTCTCTACCTTTGCGACACTGGACGAGGTATTTTTAATTAAATTGCATGTACAATGTATACACATTTAAAAAATTATTATCATTATTGTTATTGTTGTACTTGATAGCGGTCAATGTTAAAAAGGAGAATGAGGAGCAGAAGGAGAAGACATCGATTGAGCTGTTGAATCAAGCGTATCACGTTTTGACAAGGAAGAATATCAAAGATTCACTCACCTCTTTTATAGCTACAGTACCTGGTAATGAGTGAACGCTAACCTCTCTACCTCTCTCTTTTCTATCTTCAATCTTTGCCTTCTCTTTTCTCTCTCTCTCTCTCTCTCTCATCTCTCTTTATTTTATAATTTTCTATTCTTTTCCCTCTCTCTTTTCACCGTTCCATTTTTATATCTACTTCAAACTCTCTCTCTCTCCAAAAGGTAATTTCGATCACAATGAATCTCATGATTTCTCGCTACGGAGTCTCATTGATAGACCACCAATAGGAGGGAGAGAGTTCTTACCAATATCCGAGCAAGCCTTGCTTGGTTTTCGTCTTCACCCTGGATCAGTAAGTTATAAATGAAACAAGAACAATAATTTAAAAACAGTTTAACTGGAATACGTTGCAATTTGAAGTACATGTGAAGTGTCGTAAATAGTTCAAGTTATATGAGAAACAACTTTCTATAAAACTGTATTGTAGTGCATGTAAAGTAGTTCAGATTCAGTTTTCTTGTTTTACTATAATAAGTTCTAGTGTGTCTAAATCAGCCTTAAGTACTAATGGTGTCTTTGTTTAGTTGCCCGAGCAGTATCAGCTTGATCCCTCAACATCCGAAAGCTCCAAACCACACAAGAAGAAGAAGAAACATAAACACAAACACGGGGACAAGATGGATGACATGTCTTTAGCTAATTATTCTCCGGTAATGTCCCGCGAACACAGCCCACCTGCTGATCCTTGCGACTTCATAAAAGCAGATCAAACGAATAACTTCTTTCCTCCGAAAGTTTCTACGTGTGCCCCTCCCACCCAGCCTACTCAGGCTCCGCCCATTTCATCGTTTCAATCGATACCTCATTTAGTATCAACTTCACAGCATCATCTCCCTGCGACTCTTATTGGAGGACCGCTAATGGCAGCCGTTTCCGGTGGGCAGTATATTAATATTCAAGGACAAACGGGGGTCATCATGACATCAGGGAAATTCCCAACTCACCCGCACGCAACTATACAAGGCAAGTGGCTGGGGGTGTGGTTTATAATTTAATTAATTTGTGTAGGCGGGAGTGAGGCAGCTGCTGCTTTAGGATATCAATTAACTCCAACCGGACTACAACCTGCTGCTGTTCTGTTGGGACAAGATCAGTTTAAAATACCAACGAAATCAAAAAAGGTAAAGACAATTCTCTTTACTTTTGAATATTTATGATCCCATAGAGACGCCGCGATAATGAGGACGGACTTAAAAAGAAGAAAAAAGACAAGAAGGAGAAGAGAAAAAAGAAGCATCACGATCCCGGGGCTATGCCTTCTACTTCTCTCCCTTCAGCTATCCCTCCCACTCATCCTGCCCCTCCCCCTCCTCTCGTACACTCGAGCTATCCACCACGCCCACCATAACCACGCCTACTTTTAGGGAATCTTAAACTATTGTTTAGACTTTTCAGATTTTCATTAATAATTATAACTGACAATTATTAATTTATAATAATTATTATCGTTATTATTAATTGACTTTCAATGAAAACAGCAATAATAAATAATAATAATAATAAATATTTTTATATATTTCATAATACACACCTTTATATGTACATGTACATATAGTACGTTTGCAGCTGCTAAACTTTTAAATATTTTCAGCTGTAACTTTAGGATTAAGAGGATCTCTTCCCTCCTTTAGAATTTTCAATGAGTAATTGACACTGGCGTATCCTTGTGTTGTAGAGCTAAGCGAAATCACGTCTACACTCGGCAGGCAGTATTGAGCCAAAGTATCTCTACGAATGCCGCCACTTGCTTCAATTGTCACAAACGGATAAACTCCTTTCAAATGTCTTGAAGCCATTGCTAGTGCTTCAGGCTCAAAGTTATCGAGCATCACAATCTCCGCTCCACTTAAAATGGCTTCCTCGGCTTCGGCAAGCGAGCGACACTCAACTTCAATTTTGAGGCTAAATCCGCCGACTGAACGAGCTCTTTTAATGGCCTCACTCACGCTCCCTGATACCCAAATATGGTTATCTTTGAGCATTATCAGAGATGAGAGGTCATAGCGATGAGTTGAAACTCCACCCACTAATAACGAGTATTTCTCCACTTGTCGAAATCCGGGGGTCGTCTTCCTTGTACCGGCAATCTCTCCCGCCCACTTGAGATCCTTAGCAAGCTCAGAAAGCTCTCGTGCGTGTGTTGCAATTCCACTAGAACGAGCTAGAACATTCAAAGCAATTCTCTCGCCTTTGAGCAACTTGTAGGCTGGGCCTTTGACTCGAGCAACCTCAGACATTAGCTTGACCTTCTCTCCCTCCTTACAGAGCCAAGTGACCTTGCAGTCTAACTGAGAAAATACTGACTCCACAAAAGGGACACCACTAAGTACCCCTGGGCTTTTTGCAATAATTGCAGCTTCTTCTATCTTGTCTCCAACGACAATACCAGCATAATCAAAGGAAGGCATATCCTCTTTTATCCAACCTCTGACCAAATCCTCAATATTAGCAGGAGACAGGATGTGATGGAGGTTTCTAGGATTTTCAATTGTGCTAGCTTCATTGTCGGACGCCATGTTTTATTAACCACGCCTACAAATATACCACGCCCCACTGCAACTGCACATAATTTTTGTGCGGTGTCTTCAATGACGCGTTAACTTTTCTTTCCTTCTCCTTCTGCAAGAAACACAGCCTTGAACGAGTCCTCAAACTCTCTTAGAGTATCCCTCTAGTAGTCCCCCGTTCAATACGTTAGCCGTTCCAAGGGGGAAAGATGGTCGATGTGTCCAATTCTAAAGGCGGTACGGTTCTCGTCTCAATCCAGCCAGTCTCCTCTGACCTGCTGCCCCCTCAGCCAAACATTGAAGAAGGATGGGACATAGTTGCTGAAGACGGCGGGGCACAGACTGATGAGGTATGTAAGTCTAGAGATTGCAGCCATTTTTGTGATTTGTACATGTACATACTTTTGCAGATTTGTAAAAGACATGTTTTTTTACAAACCTGTTTGGATTATATAATTAAGCAAGTATATCCCATAGTTCCTGTATTGTCTTTAAATCATTTTAAAGAAATGAAAACAAAGCCTCACGTTAATATGATACACACTATATCATCATTATAAGTACATGTATATATATATCAATAATTAATTCTTTTTTTTTAAATGTGAAGCCAACAACTCCGCGTGCTGAGAGAAAAGAAATTCAAGACAAAGAGAAAGAAGATCATTACGGGTTTATAGTCAGACCAGGAGATGATCAACTTCATTAGTAAGAGGGAGAGAGAGAGAGAGCAAGGTGATAGAGAGAAGAGGTGTGAATATGTAGGACAGACAAGATGTGAGACATAGTTTCCTATTAATTCACACCAGAAAAGCATGCTAGCTAGCCAGAAACTTCAATTATAATAATAATAATAATAATAATAAATACACATAGCTTTGTGCAAAGAATAATTTGTGTATTAATTCTATTGAAACTAAATTTGGTGAAAGAATGAAAGTCAGAATGACTATCACTACTACTATACATGTTAACGGAGAGAGACTGTAATATTATCCTAGTTTTAAAATAACTTTGTAATTGCCATTTTCATTGTAGCTTGATGAGCCAGAAAGACTCACGTCTATACACGTACACGTACACCCGCCATAACAAAGTGTGGATTGATAGATTTTATGTGATCATTAGTGTTGCCCTATGCCTTTATACATCATTAGTTTACATTATTGCTTCCTTTGAGTCAATGTGATCCATTAAAGATTGTTGTTATAAACTTCTCCTTACAGTACAGTACATGTATCTACTAACTTTTACTCTTTTGAGAAATCTATCAACTTTATTGCGCAGCAGCTGTGTAATAATAGAAAAAAATTCAAATTTAAAACTTTGTGGAGTTTGTGCAGGTGCCATTTATTGAGCACCCATCAGCCTGCTATGGCCAAAATTACTTTAATAACAAGTACTAAAAATAGGAAACTTTTATGTTACTAAAAATAGCAAGTTCTTTGCTTCATTTAATGCTATTGTGTTAATACGTACAAGTACATGTACATTCATTGTAGAAGTGAGTGATTGTGCATACTATACTGTATACTGTATACTGTGTACTGTATTGTTAGTATATTGTTAGTATATTGTTAGTGTATTTTAAACAAAGGAAGTATGAGTTGGCAATCTAACAATGTGTTATAATGGATTTACTAACTTAATACATGTAGATTACTATAGATTACTAGATTTACTGTATAAATACAAGTATATCATCATAATTATTATTACTATCCTTTGTTATCACCATTTTCATTATTATTATTATTATCATCATCATCATTATTATTATTATTATTATTATTATTATTATCATTATTATTATTTTATTATTATTATTATTTAGTGATGCCACTGATGATGCTAAGAAGGTGAGAGAGAGAGAGCAGAAGTGGTTGAAAATGATCACCAATTGGAAGGATTGGTCTGATAACAAAAGCACCCGGGTAAGACTCATTCTCTCTTTTATTTTTAAACTCTTTCCCCTTCTAGCTTAAAGAAAGATGTCGTAAAGGTATCCCAGATTCCCTCAGAGGCAGAGCTTGGATGCTTTTAAGTGGAGCCAATGAATTAATGGAACAAAACGCAGGAGTATTTGAAGTGAGAATTTTTAACCCTTACGCCCCTTTTTTACAAGCTAGTGTACATGTATTTAAATATTGTTCTTCGTCTTTGTAAAGGAGTTAGTGTCTAGGGAGGATAATGACGTTGTTATTCATGTTATTGATAAAGACTTGGCTCGGACTTTCCCATCACACGTCCTCTTTGCCGAGAAAGGATCCCAAGGGTAAGTACCATTCTCTTGGACTTTATATAATTTTGATAATTTTTTTGTTTTTTTTTTTTTCAGGCAAAGGGATTTACGATTAGTTCTAAAAGCTTATGCTTTTTATAACGAAAAGACAGGCTACTGTCAGGTAAGTAAAAGTTAACATTATGTCTCTTGCAAATTAATTATTATTTAAATGTATTTTTTTATTATATTTATGTTTATTTTATATTTTAGGCTATGGCGCCAGTTGCTGCAACTCTTCTAATGCACATGCCAGCAAATGTAAGTACACATACTTATAAAGAGATCTCTCTGGGCTAGTTTAAAATGGCTGTATTCATGCAATTTAAAAATTTTAATCACCTCAAACTTTCTACACACCATAAGGACATCAATATGTATCAGAAAATGTAATAAAAAATTGGGGTGATTTTGGAGCCATTTTTCGGAAAAAACCATGGGCTATAGTACAGGGTATTTTTTAGAATTTTGGCATTTTCTTAAAATGGCCGTAACTTTAAAAATTGAAGTCGGAATCACCTCAAACTTTCTACACACCATAAGGACATCAATATGTATCAGAAAATGTAATAAAAAATTGGGGTGATTTTGGAACCATTTTTTAGAAAAACCATGGGCTATAGTACAGGGTATTTTTCAGATTTTTGTCATTTTCTTAAAATGGCCGTAACTTGAAAAATTGAAGTCAGAATCACCTCAAACTTTCTACACACCATAAGGACATCAATATGTATCAAAAAATGTAATAAAATTTTGGGGTGATTTTGGAGCCATTTTTTGGAAAAAACCATGGGCTATAGTACAGGGTATTTTTCAGATTTTTGGCATTTTCTTAAAATGGCCGTAACTTTAAAAATTGAAGTCGGAATCAGCTCAAACTTTCTACACAGCATAAGGACATCAATATGTATCAGAAAATTTAATAAAAATTTGGGGTGATTTCAGAGCCATTTTTTGGAAAATACCATGGGCTATAGTCCATGCTTTTTACCAAAAATTTGCTACTTTTTAAAATTGGCCACAACTCAAAAAATTTTAGTCAAACTTTCTACTTGCACATGTAGCACAAGGACATCAATAAACGCATCTTATTTCTCTTTTCTAGCAAGCCTTTTGGTGTTTAGTACAGATATGTGAGCAGTACTTGCCTGGATACTACAGCCCTGGACTCGTAAGAAATCACATTAAATCAAATTTAATGATTTTGCCTCAACGTCTTCTAGCATGCATTCCAAATAGATGCTCTGATACTGAAAGACCTACTAGCGAAACAACTCCCAGTGGTTGCTCAATTTCTAGACGTATGCAAGCCATCACAATAAAAATGACTTAAGTTTATATTGTTTGTTTTTTCCAGTCGAAACTTCCACCTACAAATCCGAACGAGGTCCACAAAGGTCTTGACCCAGTACTTTATTGTACCGAATGGTTCATGAGCATATTCTCTCGCTCGCTGCCTTGGAGATCTGTCCTCAGAGTCTGGGACATGTTCTTTTTTGAGGGTGTCAAGGTTTTGTTCAAAGTTGCTCTTGCGATCATGAGCTTATCATTCTCAAAGCCAAAACAAAGAGAGGAGTGTCCTGGGTAGGCCACACCTCCTGAGGGGAGACAATTAATTAATTATTAATATTTTATGATTTGTTAGGTTTTTTGAAGTAACGCAAAAGCTACGCAATCTCCCCCTGTCTGTCACTCATGAGGGGATCCTCCTGCCAGAAGTAAGTACAGTATTGTTATATTATACAAATGTAGATATTGTAATAAAAATATAATTTTTCTCTTCATTTTTTCTTTTCTTTTTTTGCTTGTAGATCCTAAGATTTCCGATACACAATCAAGAGCTAAAGAAGTTTCACTTCCAGCAAGCTGACGTCCATTTCTCTGAGGAGAGAGCTAGAATTATGGAAATGCAAGCGAGAAGGTCTCAAGCGAGAAAGAGTTTTTCGACGCTCTCCGAGGCGACATCTGAAGGACCTGACTGACATTTTTAATGTATTTATAATAATTATTAAAAATTTACTATTATGTTTTGTGACATGAAAAAATTAAATTGATTTCTCTGATTTTAAGAAAGTTTGTTCTGAGCATGCGCAGAAACTTATGCTGGACTTTGCCGGGTAATATATTAAGAAGGCGTGGCAGGAAGATGGATGTACTGTGGCAATGATGGCATTGAGGAATAGATATTAGAGTAAATTTAGCATGCCACTTGTTATAATCTGTGGTCTGCCTTGTTCTGGGAAGACTAGGCGAGCTCACGAAATATCCAAATTATTGGAGAGAGAGTGTGGAGACAGGAATAAAGTTAATATTGTTTCTGATGACTTTTCCTCACTAACAAGAAACGAGCTATACTCTTCTACCAAAGAAGAGAAAATAGCCCGAGGGAATTTAAAGTCACAGGTAAAGTATATGTACGTGTTTTGCATTGATTACTATGTGACTTTGTATTAGGTCGAGCGTCTCCTGTCACGTGATACTCACGTGATCCTGGACTCCCCAAACTACATCAAAGGCTATCGTTACGAACTTTATTGTCTTTCGAAACTCCTCAAGACGACACAATGCGTAGTGCACTGTGACACGCCATGCGAAACAGCAGCTGATTGGAATGCTCAGCGACCAATCAAAACTGAGCGCTACTCTCCGGAAACCTTTGACGCTTTAGTGCAGCGATTTGAAACCCCAGACTCAAGGAATCGTTGGGATTATCCGCTAGTCACGCTCTACCCTTCTGACCCTCTACCGGAAAAAGAACTACTTGATGCCATTTTGAAAGCAAAACCACCACCTCCTAATCAATCAACACAATCACAGCCATTAGCATCAGTCGACTTCTTGCATGAGTTGGATAGACAGACTCAATCTGTGGTCGGTAAGATATTAGAATTTCAAGGTCAGGGACTGTTGCCAGGCTCAGTTTTGGTCCCTGGGACGGAGGAAAAGGTGACATTAAGGCGTCACGTGACAATGGCAGAGATGAGGAGATACAGGAATCAGTTTATATCTTATACAAAGCTGCATCCGATAGATGATGTGAGGAAGATATCAACGTTTTTTGTTCATTATTTAAATTCTTCCCTTTAATAAAAATAATACTAATACACACAGCAGTCTATAGTTATTGCAGTCTAATATGGTAGCTAATGTCAATACAATGGATATAAAGAGCTAAAACTATGAAGTAGAAAAGTTTTTATTAAACTAGAGCCATAGCCATACAGTTTAAGACATTATGGCATCAAACTCTGCATTCTTTGCAAATTCTTTCAAGCAAGTGACTGGTACTTGGAAGTGGTTTGTACCTTGAAGGTAGTTCTGATGTGCAAAAATGGAGAGAGAAAATGCTAAAAAAGATTATTATATGCAATTTCTTACTGATGCATAAGCCATTGCGTTCTGCTTCTCATCAGCGCTTGCACTGTGCCCAATCCAAACAAAGCACTTCTTTCCAGTGTCAACAATAAAGACTAACAATAGTTATATTTACTAATGTTCACTGGTATAGGAGTATTATGCTCACCATCTTTTGAGTCAAGGAATGTCTTTGACAGTTTTCCTTCAGAAACAAGTGTGGTCTTCATTGTACCACTCTCATCACTCACCCTACATACATGTACATGCATCTATAAACTAGATTAAGTATTTCTATAGAACTAACCTCAGTATGCAAGGCTGGAATCCATCATCTGTTGACTTTAAAAGATAAAAAAGTTACAGCAATTTAAAACGATAAATCAACTTACTTCTTCGGCGTTATCCTCAAGTGGATCGGAAGACAAATGAGACATAAAAGGATGATTCTCATCAACCTCCCACTCATCTGTGATAAGAGAACATCATGTAAGTGCAAGTTTAGCCTCAGTTGTATCGTTTTTTCTATTTTTAACTTACCAAATGTCTCAATGGTTGGCTTACCACCTCTCTGGCCCTACAGAATACAGGACAATGTTAATCCATGCAATTCTCATCTTCACTGAGACATACCCTTATCTGAGAGACATATTGTCCAGCCTTAAACTTCTCATCCTTATTGCAAGTTCGCCCATTCCACTGCATAAAAAAGCTTTGATAATAACAGCATGAGCTTTTAGCAGCTAACCTGGTATAGGGTAAGGCCAAGATCTAAGATGAAAACATCTCCAGAATTGAGCGAATGCTTGCTTAGTGGACGCTCCTTTACAACAACAATTCCCTACATATACATAAGAATAATTAATTTTAAAATTCTACATTTTTTTCTAACCTTTGCATCACGGCGGAAGTGGAAGAGGCGTGGCTGGTATTCAACAGGTTTAACATGACGGAATCCAGTATCAGCACTATATGCATTAAAAATTAAGATATCAATGTTAATTTGCTATTATTTCTCACCCTCCTTCCAAAAGTGTGACTGAACCAAAATACGACTTAAAGAGATCAGACTCATGGCTCATAACTTCACGATGTTGAACTGGCTTGTCGTCAAGCTAGAAAATGAACTCGTGAAATAACAGCAATGGTAAAGGAATTATAGAGGATTATGACTAACCAGTGTATCCAGCTCTACAGTCTTGTATGCAGCAGTCCCATATTCATCTTGAGTGGAGTATTGACCAATCCAGAAATGCAAATCGTATTTCAATTCCTGCAGTGTAGTGTAGAAAAAGAAGTAATAATAATAGCTACAATTGACAAGAAATTTATTGTGCAACTACATTTATAATTTGAGTAATTTGTATGGGCTAAGCTGCATGGTATCTATGGCTGTAGATGTATTCTTGCTCACCTCATTCCCAGGCTCCTTATAAGTGTTAAGGATAATGTAGGAGTCTCCATTGTAAAACTCTCCATATTGATCTTTAGGCCAATGTGTCACCTATGATGAGAGGGTTATAAAAGTACAGTTAGTGCTGCAGCTTTGAGATATAGGGCAGTTTTGCTGTTACTTTGAATTTGACTATACGCCAAATCTGCACTCCAACTTTTGCTCCAGCTCCCGACCACGCCTTCTCAGTTTCTGCAGCAGCTTTCTTGACCTGTTGAGTGGGCGTTAGTTGATCTTGCTGTGTATTAACTGCATTGTCTTACCCTTCTCTCATGGTCGGATCCAAAGAGAGCAAGGTTACTGTCCTTCCAGTCGTACTTCTTTGCCTTTACAAGCCCAGCCATTCTCTCTTAGTCTTTTATTTGCGTTTGAAAACACCCCAACAACAACAACTAGCTACACCCACAAATGGCAATTAGACCCAAGCAATGAATATCACTATTATAGTGTGTGTTCTCTTTGTCATGCTTCTCATGAATATTTTCTTAAAAATAAAAGCTACAAAATAATGTAAAAGTTAAAAAAAAGCAACTAAAATGTTAGCAATCAAGCAATGTCAGCTATTATTGCAGTCTCTTGTATTCAGTCCAGTCTCTTAAGGTAGAGCAGCTTTGAAGCTAGCAGTCTCTTTGCCTTCAATGACACGTGAGACAGACACAAGAGGATGTTGAGTCTTTTGCAAATAATCCTATTTAAGATAGAAGAAATTAAGAACAATAATAATAATAATAAGTTATGATAATTGTCTTAATAATTGTTGTTGCTGTAAACTCACATGGGCATAGCTCATAGCTTGACGTTTCTCTGATTGTGTTGTTTCCTTGCCAATCCAAACAAAGCAAGCCTTGCCAGTGTCAACAATAAAAGCTACAATAAAAGAAGGAAATAGAATATTATTATTTATAAAGACAATAGTACTGTAATAATGATTTTTGGAACAGCATTACATTGGCTAAATTTTTACACATCATTGCCGGGTAGCTAGTCTCACCTAACCATACCCCGCCCTCCATGCCTTGCTACATATACACAACACTAATTGGTAGCAGCTGTCAAAAGAGGTCACTTTCACTTCGAGGCACTAACAGCATACACAGAAGACTGATAATGAGGTTAAAGTACATACTACATCATTTAGCATTATGATAATAATTCAATCAGAAGCTCCATTATGACTAGTGTCTGTACTTGGCTCACCATCTTTAGTATCAAGGCTTGATCGAGCATACTTGGCTTCTTTAGTGAACGTCATCTTGCCAGATTCGTCGCTCAACCTTTAGAGAAAGAGTATAAAAGGAGAGGGTAGTATTTTAATAAAGAAGTGACTACCTAAAGATTGATGGTTCAAAGTCATCATCGCCTCCTTCCTCATCATCATCCAAGTCAACGTCAGGAAGATATTTCTCAACAAGCTTCAACCACTCAGGATCCTCTCCAACTAAATGGTACATAAAAATAAGAAATAAAACAAGAAATGAACATACCAAAGACTTCAGTTTCACATTTGCCCCTGTCACTCTATACAACAGAAAAAAATATAATTAATTTTCTTTAAATTTAAAATTCAAACCTTTAGTTTTTGAAGGTACTGCGAGGCTTTGAATTTCTCATCTTTATTGGCTCCATCGCCATTCCACTAAAGGCAAGAAATAAATGAAAGAAATGAGCTACATGTTTAATACTTGATATATGTTGAGTCCAAGATCAAGTATGAACACATCAGTATTGTCAAGAGCCTTCTTGCTCAATGGCCTCTCACGGACTTCAATGCTTTTCTGAAAACAAGTTTATAATTGTTCTTTAACTAGTACAAATTAAAATACAAATACCTTTACTCCATGGAAGTGGAAGAGACGTGGTTTATACTCTTCAGGTTTAACATGATAAAAGCCACTATCAGCTCTGTAAGATAATGAGAGAGAGGGGGAGGCAGTTGGCTATCATATATTATCAGCATATATTCACTGACCCTCCTTCCAAAAGTGTTATCTCACTAAAGTAAGTCCTGAATAAGTCAGACTCATGGCCCATTACTTCACGATGCTGTATAGGCTTGTCATCAAGCTATGTAAAAGGAAAAAGAGGAAGAAGTGACATACAAAGCTAGAGAAATGGACACTTACAAGAGTGTCCAATTCAACTGTCTTGTAGGCAGCTGTGCCATATTCATCAGCAGTAGAATACTGTCCAATCCAATAATGCACATCATACAGCAACTCCTGTAAAGATAGGAATTAGTAGAAGGTAGAGAGATAGAAGGTAAAGTAGTTTCACAATCTACATAGTTTTGGAAACATTGCTATCTATGTTTTGGCTTAACGGAATAAACAGTTTATGATTTGAGAAGCACTGACTATGATGGTAATGCACATAAATGTATTGATAGTGAAATGCAATGCAGGATGAAATATAAACATGCACAGACAACTTATAGTTTATCTTTTTAAGAACATCACCATATCTGTTAGTGAACTTTTTATTATCATAACTGCAATCCATTCAGTCATGCTGCACAGTCATCATGCAAGGCATATTAGGAATATAGTGTGTTTAATGATTCTGCTTACATCTCCGTCCTCCTCCTTGTATGTGTTAAGGATAATGTAGCTGTCTCCATTGAAGAATTGTCCATATTGATTTTTTGGCCAGGATTTAACCTGCAAAACAATCATAAAGATCAATAGTATTGACTTGGCCCTAACCAAGCTCCTTTGAACTTACGTTAAACTTAACAATGCGCCATATCTGCAGGCCCACTTTCTTTCCTGCCACTTTCCATGCCGGCTCTGTCTCTGCCGCAGCTTTCTTGACCTATGAAGAGAATTTTTTGTAGTCTTAGGTTGCCATAATCTCTTTTGCAGTGTTTGTGGTGAACAGGAGCTGTTATGCAGTTAATTATAGTGCCTTACGTTCCTTTCAAGGTCGGATCCAAAGAGAGCAAGGTTGCTGTCCTTCCAGTCGTACTTCTTTGCTTTTACAAGCCCAGCCATTGTTCCTCTTCTTACTTGCAGATAGGTCGCAGGTATTGTTTCTGCGCATGCGTATAACTTTAGGGCGTAGTTTATTTTTAATAACTTTTGATTAATAACTTTTAATTAATTAATTAATTAGTATAAATCAATGAAGATATCTCTATTTTTGATTTTGGCAAAATTTGGCCCAAGACCATGTACTATTATAGTACTGGGACTTTTACTCAATTTTGGAGCAACTTTAACCAGATAAACTTCTATTCAAAGATCAAGTAAATAATACTTGACTTAGCAAACGGAACCTCCTTAACAACATGCAATACCACACAAATTGTAAATAGAGCCAGTTGAACAAATATCATATCTTATGTGTCTTCTCTTTTCTAAAATATAGTCATGCTTCTCATGAAGTATAAAAGCTACAAAATAATGTAAAAGTTAACTAAAGTGTTAGCAATCAAGCAATGTCAGCTATTATTGTAGCCTCTTGTATTCAGTCCAGTCTCTTAAGGTAGAGCAGCTTTGAAGCTAGCGGTCTCTTTGCCTTCAACGACACGTGAGACAGATACAAGAGGATGCTGGGTCCTTTTCAAATAATCCTATTAGTAATGAGAAAGAGAAGAAATTAATAGTTGTTGGATGTATATTGCTGCAAAAACTCACATGGGCATAGCTCATAGCTTGACGTTTCTCCGACTGTGTGGTTTCCTTGCCAATCCAGACAAAGCAAGCCTTGCCAGTGTCAACAATAAAAGCTAAAATAGAAGGAAAAAACAGAATATTATCATTTATAAAGACAATAGTACTGTAACAATTTTGACAAAAGAGAATGAACAATATTAGCCCATTGGTCATAACATTGGCTAAATTTCTATACATGATAATGATTGGTAGCAGCTGTCAAAAGAGGTCACTTTCACTTCCAGGCACTAACAGCATACACAGAAAAGACTGATAATGAAGTTAAAGTAAATACTACATCATTTAACATGTAATATTAGTTCAATCAGAAGCTCCATTATGACTAGTGTCTGTACTTGGCTCACCATCTTTAGTATCAAGGCTTGATCGAGCATACTTGGCTTCTTTAGTGAATTTCATTTCACCAGTTTCATCGCTCAACCTTTAGAGAGAAAGAGGAGAGGGTAGTATTTTAATAAAAAAGTGACTACCTAAAGATTGATGGTTCAAAGTCATCATCAGCTCCATCATCATCATCATCCAAATCAACGTCAGGAAGATACTTCTCAACAAGTTTCAACCACTCGAGATCCTCTCCAACTAAATTGTGCATAAAAATAAAAAATAAAACAAGAAATGAACATACCAAAGACTTCAGTTTCACATTTGCCCCTGTCACTCTATACAACAAAAATATACAACTCATTTTTTAAATTTAAATTCAAATTAACCCTTAGTTTTTGAAGGTACTGAGAAGCTTTGAATCTCTCGTCTTTATTGGCTCCATCACCATTCCACTAAAGGCAAGAAATAAATCAAAGAGATGAACTACATGTCTAATACTTGATATATTTTCTGTCCAAGATCAAGTATGAACACATCAGTATCGTCAAGAGCCTTCTTGCTCAATGGCCTCTCACGGACTTCAATGCTTTTCTGAAAACAAGTTTATAAAATTGATTTTTAACTATGAGAAATTAAAATAATAATACCTTTACTCCATGGAAGTGGAGGAGACGTGGTTTATACTCTTCAGGTTTAACATGATAAAAGCCACTATCAGCTCTGTAAGATAATGAGAGAAAGGGGGAGGCAGTTGGCTATTATATATTATCAGTATATATTCACTGACCCTCCTTCCAGAAGTGTTATCTCACTAAAGTAAGTCCTGAATAAGTCAGACTCATGGCCCATTACTTCACGATACTGTATAGGCTTGTCATCAAGCTATGTAAAAGGAAAAAGATGAAAAATAGTGAGCATGCAATGTTTGTATAGTGCTGCAGAAAAACTTACAAGAGTGTCCAATTCAACTGTCTTGTAGGCAGCTGTACCGTATTCATCAGCAGTAGAGTACTGTCCAATCCAATAATGCACATCATATAGCAACTCCTGTAAGGATTAGTAGAAGGTAATCTAGTATACAGTTCAGTATGGAAACCCTGCCACATGCAACCATTCATTGGCATGCATGCATGCCGCATATTAGGGCTGAGGTGTTTCAGTAATGATCCTGCTTACATCTTCACCCTCATTCTTGTATGTGTTAAGGATAATGTAACTGTCTCCATTGAAGAATTGTCCATATTGATTCTTAGGCCAGGATTTAACCTGCAAAAACCATGCACAAAACACTGACCGTACTGAGGCTAGCTCATTTGATTCTTTGAACTTACGTTAAACTTGACAATGCGCCATATCTGCAGGCCCACTTTCTTTCCTGCCTCTTTCCATGCCGGCTCTGTCTCTGCCGCAGCTTTCTTGACCTATGAAGAGAAGTTTTGTAGTTTTCGGTTGCAGGCTCTGTGCCGTGCTTGTAAAGAACAGTAGCTGTCCTGCTATGCATAATTATTATAGTGCCTTACGTTTCTTTCAAGGTCAGATCCAAAGAGAGCAAGGTTGCTGTCCTTCCAGTCGTATTTCTTTGGCTTTACAAGTCCAGCCATTCTTTGTATGTAGATCAGTAGATAGGTTCTCGCAGATACTGTTTAGGGCGTGGCTCACTGGTAATAACTTTTAATAACTTATGCTCCACCCAAAGACTAGGAAATAATGAGTAACAACTATAGACCTCTTTGGGTGAGAATGAATTACGTCAAAGAATGATATACGGCAAGGGGCGTGACTGAGCCTGGCTGACTCTGAAATAATTTTCGTGGACGGCAACTTTCTATGGAGCATGAATGGGCTAATGCAGAAAGCAAGCTCTATTAAAGAATATACTTCATATTGCACCAAATCTCTTTTAGGAGATGCTTAGCAGCGACCATTCTTTCCTCCAACCAGCTTTTGTAGCTTGAAAAAGCTCCATGCCAACGAAAAGGATTAGTTTTGCCTTTTCTTCATCTATCCTCCATTGAATCTTGCCGTCCAAAATGGCGGCCAATTATCACCGTAGGTGGATACCGTAATAAACAGTAATGATATTCATAGGCCACCGTCAATCTCACCTGAAGAGGTCTATACTAGAATAATGTATAAAATTTAACATCATATTTTATTTAGCTACAGAAGATTGTATTAAAATTCAAATAACAATAATAATCACTGGAAGTCAAACTAATCAACTATAATAATAATAATGATAATAATAATAATAATAGTTCACTAAAATTGCATAACCCAGCAAAGCGCTGCATGTCAACTTGCCATTCAAATTGATAACTAAAGTAAATATAAAATTGATAAAATGAAGATTGCTTTTCTTACTTAGGAAAGGATTTTAGCAAAGAATTGGTTTGCACGGCCTGTTTGTCCGTCCTTGATGCAAGTAACTGGAACAAGAGGATGCTTAGTACTTTGAAGGTATGCCTGTAGAAAAATAATAATAATAATAATAATAACAATAATAATAACAATAATAATAACAATAATAATAATAATAATAATAATAATAATAATAATAATAATAGTAATAATAATAATGATAATAATAATAATAATAATAATAATAATAATAATAATAATAATAATAGTAATAATAATAATAATAATAATAATAATAGTAATAATAATAGTAATAATAATAATGATAATGATAATAATGCATGTGACAATTCACATAATTTTTGGTCAAAATAGCGTCTCAATCAATCGTTATACTGATTATTAATTATTATTATTATTATTATTAGTATTATTTATTATCAATGTGTTGTTATTGTTGTTATTATTATTTAATATACTTACATGAGCATAAGGGATTGCATTCTTATTCTCAGCATCACTGGCGCCACGACCAATCCAAACGTAGCATTCCTTGCCAGTATCACAAATAAAGACTAAAAAACAACAATTAATAACAAGATACTTTATTCAGCTGGCACTTAAATTTAAAGATTATATATATATATATATCAATTCATTACTGAGCATCCTGGTAAATAAGCAACTTTAACAACAAGTTAATTGGCTGCTTTGATATTTGAGGATTTTATCACAAATAACCAATTGCTCAGCCAAACTAAAATGCTGTATGTAATATGCATCACTTTTTGCACTCAGTAGACAAAAAATAGAAGAAAAATGATTAATCATGCAGCTATTACCATCATTGGGGTCCAGCTTATCTTCAGGGATACTTCCAACATGCTCAACAGTTCTCTCTAATGTACCAGAGGCATCCGACACCCTACACAAGAATAATGACGCATTTAAAAAAAGCACCTAAAATCCAGCTGTACATATTGCCATTCAAATAACTTGTTGATTATAATCATGCAGCTGCTAATATACACTGTACTTATATAAGCTCACCTCAATAGTGTCGGCTGGAAGTCTTCATCTGGATTATCCTAGAACAAAGCAAACAGTTAATAGTTAAAATAAAGAATATGATAAATGGACTCTCTTACTGCTTCACTCTCCTCTTCTTCCTCTTCTGGTGTGTCTGGGAGCAGAGCCATGAACTGTCTGTTACTTGCATCATCACGTTGATCTAAAAACAGACATAATGTACTATTAATAGATTATTAGTGATACTATTAATAGATTATTAAGGTTGTTAGTTGTTACTATTAATAGATTATTATAGCATAAAGTGCTTGTTAAAGGCTGACCAATGTTCTCAGTTGTTACGCGTCCGCTCCTGTTGCTCTTGATAGTCTGCAGGTGCTGAATGGCTTTGAATTTCTCATCTTTGTTGCAAGCTTTGCCATACCACTAGGAAAGGAAAAAAAGAAAGAGATTAATATTAATAGATACCATGTCTGTAATTCATACCAGATACACTTCTGTTCCTTTATCAAGTATAAAGACGTCAGTTTCATCAATACTGCTCTTGGCAAACGGAACCTCCTTAATGATAACACCTTTCTACATAGATAAACAACAAAAATAACAACAATAATAGTTACAAATAAATAAAATAAATGAATATACCTTGTCACCATGGAAATGCAACAGCCTCTTTGGATATTCTTGCTTGTTAATTTCAACATGGCGGAAACCACTTTCAGCGCTACAATTTAAATATTCATTATTTCCATTTATTTATAATGTATCATCACATACCCTCCTCTCATTATGGTGATGGCAGGGAAATAGCTCTTGAAGAGAGCAGACTCATAGCTCTGGACTTCACGGTGCTGAATCGGCTTATCATCAAGCTATTGTTAGTAAGGGAGGAAGCAAGAGAGACAGAACAAGTCAAAATACACGGAGATTGATCTTGACCAAATATGGTCATAAAGACAGATGCCTTTTACTCACACACTCTGCAATGCTTTGTGTGACGTCAGTAATAATACACTTAATACAAGAATTCACACTAAATACTCTATACCCGTAACAGTTGACACAGCACTAAACCAACTACACACTCATGTACATTGTCAACCATAACTCTACCTGCAGTCAACAAGTGGTATAAAGGCATATTTTGACTTTAGGAGCTACTTTGTGATTCTTTACATGCTGTAACTGTCAGTCAATGACAGTCCAGGATGCTTTGCAGGCCCGTAGCCAGGGGGCGTGATTGGGGTGACATGTCACCCCCCTTTTGAGTTAGTACCTTTGTTTGTTTGCTTAAATCAAACATGTATTTGTGGTATTTCATGTGCATCCAGTCCAACTTGTCACCCCCCATTTCATGTAACTCATACTTTTGTCACCCCCATTTCATGTAACTCATATTTTGTCACCCCCCTTTTTGTAACCCTGGCTACGGGCCTGCTTTGGTGAATAGAAGATCAAATTCCATTCCGAGTACATTAACACTGATTAAGTAAACATAACTAGTTTTTATTGATAATTGACACCAGCATTAATAGCAATAACAATGCTTTTTTTGTGGTTAGAATCCATTGGAGCCAAGAGAACACAGTGGTAATTGAATATAGTAGTGGTGTGGTTTTGTTTAATTACTGTGGAATCTCTGGTGAGATTTTTAAGTAACAACAATAGGCAAACAAGATCGCATGAGTGAATATAATGTATGTGTATGCGTATCCATGTAGGATTACATCTATAACAAAGTAGTGCTGCTGTACTGCTTTGTATATTGTTTCCCTTTACTTACAAGAGTGTCCAATTCAACCGTCTTGTAAGCAGCTGTACCGTATTCGTCTTGGCTCGAGTACTGACCAATCCAAAAGTGTACGTCGTACTTTATCTCCTAAAAAATAAAATTATACGGTTTTCATCTTGCGAATGAAATACTAATAGTTTTACCTCCTCCTCTTTGTAAGTATTGAGGATAATGTAGGAGTCTCCACTGTAGAAGCTTCCTTTAAAATAAAAAGATGATAATACAAGTTGTTTGTTATTTCTTGTTGCTAGTAGCATTACCATACTCCTCTTTTGGCCAATGCTCAACCTGAAATTAATCCGCAATCATAATGAGTTTTTAATAAAAAGTAACTTGCTTTGAACTTGACAATCCTCCATATTTGTATCCCCACCTTTTCCCCTGCTCCCTGCCAAGCCTTCTCCGTCTGGGCTGACTCTTTCTTCACCTGCAAGGAACAAACTTTGGACCAGAGCGGCGGAAAATAAGATAACTAACCTGCTTCTCGGTATCGGACCCAAAAAGGGCCATGTTGCTGTCCTTCCAGTCATATTTCTTTGCCTTAATCATTGCTGGAAATGAGATGCTCAAGTACCGAAAAAATGCAAGAAGAAGAAAAAGGAGAGAACACAAGCGGCAGCCCTGGAATTGGTAATCTCGGAACCGCAGCTTATTATACGCCGACAATTAGAGGCGTGGCTTGTCGACGAGCAACACCCACGCAATTAGCCAATGTTCTTGTTTTTTTTTTAACCCTTTATAAACTGTCATGGCGGACAAAAGCAAGGAAGCATGCGATGGCCCTTCTCGCAGAGGGAAAGGAGGAGATTCTGTAGTTATACGTATAGCAGTAGACGAAAAGAATAACACAGAGCAGTCCATATCTAACTGGTCTCAAAGTCTAAACTTTAATCCTTCCGGTTTGAGCAGCACAGAAACTAGTGAGTGGGTGGACATCACGTGATGCACTATTTCTTTTTTTCCTCAGATACCAGTCAAGCAAGTTTGGGACGGAGGCGGGTACAGGAATTGCGTCTTGAGAGATATGCATCACAAAGTACTGGAAATAATTTTTATCCTAATTAATGCCCAGTAGGTTCATCGATCACGTCTGATGACGTACCTTTAAAGGAATTGCCCGATAACATTCCTTTCTTCTCCGGAATACCCTCAGTTGAAGTAATAAAAGGAATTATACATCTTTTTCGTGACAGGTAATAATAATAATAATAATAGCAGCTGATGCTGGGCAACTCTTTTAGCATCAGCTGCTAATGGAGTGTCTTTCATTTATTAGTTATTATTAGATTTTGATGTTTTGGTGATAATAGCTAATATTTGTTACCATAGCCTTTTATGTGAAGCCATTAATGAAATGTAATGTGTTAAACATCTCTCTCTCTCTCTCTCTCTCTCTCTCTCTCTCTTTCCCCCCGTCCCCCTCTCAGGTCAAGGCCAGTTGAAGAGTGTACCAGTGAAGTGTTGTGTGTGTTAGGAGTTCCGGCTCACATCTCATTAAACGATTTCTTAACATTTATATCAGCATCACTGTAATTATTAAATACGTGTAATCAACTGCATGTACAGATATCAAGAGTTCCCTATTACATGTACAGATATGCATGTACATTGTACTGTCTTGTACATGTACATGTACATACATTCTAATAATGTTTTCCATGCATTTCGATATGTACATGTACATAAACATTGTATATTGATATTTGGGACTATCCAGTGTACATATTCATTGTACTTGACAAAAGGTACCATTTGTCCTTTGGCAAATGGTACCTTTTGTCTTCCACAGTATACAGTAAAGTTTATATATGCACATACATGTACATATACATGTACATACAGTATATAACTGGTTGTTGTTGTTGTTTTTGTAGTTCATCTTTGTTGGCATTACAAGTGGTACGGGATTCTACTCCTAATCAGTACATGGTGCTACTAACCTTTAAGAATAAGGTTGGAATTATAATAATCTTTGTCATACTCTACCCCCTCCCTCTCTCTCTCCCTCTCTCCCTCTCTCTCTCCCTCCCTCTCTCTCTCCCTCCCTCTCTCTCTCCCTCCCTCTCTCTCTCCCTCCCTCTCTCTCTCCCTCCCTCTCTCTCTCCCTCCCTCTCTCTCTCCCTCCCTCTCTCTCTCCCTCCCTCTCTCTCTCCCCTAGTTACAAGCTGAAGAGTTTTATCTCCATTATAACATGAAAAGGTACAGCTCAATGGAAAAGAGGATCTGCCAGCTGGTCTATGCCAGTCAAATCGAAGTCATCAGATCATCAAGAGATTCATTAACGTCACCAGCAGCACCTTCTGAAGGACTAACTGAGCTACCTAGCTGTCCTGTGTGTCTTGAAAAACTTGTGAGAGATAGAGAGAAGAGATAAGTGTAGTATTATATCTGTATTTAAGGATGAGTCTGTATTAACGATACTCTGCAATCATTCCTTTCACACCGACTGTATAACAAGATGGGAGGACTCGACGTAAGTCACATGACTATCACATGACATGTACATGTACATGTAGGTGCCCCGTCTGTCGGTATACTCAAATTCCAGAGCCATCTAGCGAAAACACGTGTAGCAAATGTGATTCAAATGAGGTTCTCGTTAATTTTTTTTGTTTAATTTTTTCGTATCTCATTAATTAGAATCTCTGGATTTGCCTTGTGTGTGGTCATGTTGGGTGTGGCCGATATCACGGAGGACACGCCCAAGAGTAGGTGTGAATAACGGGTGTGGTTTATTTGTCATGTGATTAAGGTAGACACTTCACATCAACTCAGCACACATTCTCGATGCAACTTGGGACCCAAAGAGTCTGGGATTACATTGGAGGTGAGTGTTGTTGTTTATTGTTGTTGTTTATTGTTGTTGTTATTGTTGTTGTTGTTTATTGTTGTTGTTATTGTTGTTGTTAATGTTGTTTATAGATAATTATGTTCACAGGCTGGTACAGAATAAAGGCGATGGCAAAATGGTTGAAATACCTGGACAGGAAGAAGTAAGAATACTATTGTATAAACTAGCATTGTAACTAACACTATGATGATTTGTAATTTTTAGACTTTCGTATAATAATGAATGGTGTTCATTTTATTTATTTAATATCTATTTATTTATTTATATTTTCTTTATTTATTCTTTAGTTGGGTGAAGATGAGAAGATTGATTCATTACAGTTAGAAGTAATGGATACACTGTACATGTACTGATACTGATACCTCTCTCTTTCCTTACCTCAAGTACACGTACTTACTGACTAGTCAGTTGGAGTCACAGAGACTTTATTTTGAAGAGAAACTGACCCGAGTTGAGGAAGAAGCAAGAGAGCAAGTAATGGAGAGGAAAAGAGAGAAGATGGATGATTGGTAGATGGCAACAGCCTGTAGGTTTCCCACAAAGCATGCCAAGTGATGCATGTTTAGTAACTTTAAAAATTTGTAAAAAATCTAATTTTGATCGGGATCAGTTCAAACTTTCTACACAAAATAAGAACATGTATATGTATGAGATAGAATAATAAAAATGGAGAATTCTCTGTTTTCAATTTTAGTGAAATTTGGCTAAAATCCCTGTACTATAGTACAGGGACTTTGGCCTCATTTTGAGCCACTTAAAAATCCACTGACAAGAACCTGGGCACTATTATCAAAATCCTGTGGGAAACCCTCAGTTCTAGTACATGTGCTATTATATTTTGTGGCAAGTGATGATTAATGGCTATTTTGTTATCTGATGTATAACTGCCTGTAATCTTAGTGAGTGAGACCGCTAGATATGTCACTTGCTGTAAGGCCAGGCATACAGTAACTCTCCAGCTGTAAATGTTGTGCTGGAGGTTTAAGAATGAACCTCTTGTTTTCCTTGACAGCACATTCTAAATTATCATTTTATTTTTATTATTAATTATTATTATTATTATTATACTCATCAACTTTTATAATGATGATTCTTTGGTAATCTGATGCCACACATTTTTGTACGGCATTGCTGTTGCTATATGGTTACAGTTACTATGGTTACAGTTGCTATGGTTATGGTTACAGATATCCCAACTGGAGGGAAGGTGTAGGTCGACCGTGATCGAGAAGGAGAGACTTGAAGAGAAAATGGAAGAGGAGAGAAAGGAAAGAGAGAAGAAGTACCAGCAGGTACTGTACGATGACAAGTGGTAGCCATTTTATTTCATTTTGTGACACAGCTGCACGGGAGGTTAACCAAAGTATTGAATGAACTAGGAGAAGAGAAAGAGGTCAGTTAAATTTGTATAACATGCACATGTGTCCATATTGTACTTGTACATGCATGCCAGGTTGCTAAGTGACATTTTGTTTGTTTTATTTCAGTTGAATAAGTGCATGTCCGATAACCAGAAGGTTTTTTGCGAGCGTTTTGCATTACTAGAAGAAGAAACTGAAGCAAAACTAAGGAAAAAAGACAAAGTATATAGAGGGAGAGGGTTGATCAGTATAATTATGTTCTTTTAGGATATTGAGGACTTAAGAGAGCAAGTAAAAGATTTAATGTTTGCTTTGGACGTTCAACAAAAAATCTCTCAATCTTCTCCAGAGAAGCAGCAGGTACTAGCCATTAATAACTACTAATAATTATTAATGGTTATTAAACAATAGGAATTTCGCGAGGGCCACATGGTCGTGACTCATACACCCCCAGGGAAGAGAGGAGGAGGAGGGAGGGGGAGAAGAGGAAAACATTAATGTTCTTTATCTTAATCTTGTTTGTGTTCGTCATTTTAGTGCTTGTTCTGATTTATTATTCTTTTAATTGGATAATTATAATTATAGTCATAACACCAGCTATACACAGCCTTGCCCTGCAGCTTCACTCTACACTCATTACCTTTTTTGGTATTAGTCTAGTCCTCCTCGCTTATACGTACACATTCTCTCATTATTATTATTATTATTATTATTGCTTCTACTACTAATGTTCAGTCATTTGCTGGTTCAATGCTACCAGGACACCATAAGTCCTATACATATAGAATACGACATTCTGAAACAATCTTAAGAGTATTATCATTTTAGTAGTATATTATCTTATGGTGGGTGATTGATGAAGGCTGTGTCTCTCTTTAATACATTACTAATCGTGTTGTTATAATCTTAATCAATTGTTTTGCACACATCAAATAATTAAATACTCTAGCGGTCGTAATTAACTGATGATTTCTCAAATAAACATTTCATATAAAATTTGATGCAATTGATAAAAGTGTCTCTCCTAGTTTCTCTTCGCTTCCACCTGAAGAAAACTCTCGGCTTAGTTCTCTAAAAGTCATGGCAACCCGTCTTCCTGTCACATTTTCCCTCCGTATTCCATGTAACCAGTTGTACCGGGCAGAGCCCTCAATGATCACAATGGAGAGACGTGGGTGAGGTACATGGACAACAAGCGGGTCTACTGGATGATTAAATGACAATAAAGTGGATGAGAGGAGGTTAATGGTAATCAATCGGTCGCCCCATAACCAGTTGTCGTCGAAATGAGGGTCGATGGCCGAACCACGGGTAGGGTGGTAGTCAAGGTTGCATAGTTCGACTGGTTTAAAAGATGGCGTCACTGAGAGACTTTCCAGTCTTTCTAAGAGTGTGTGGGTGTATTTCGGCAGACCATAAAAAGTGTCAGTTTTTAATTTTCGTTTTTTGAAATTAACCTTTGGGCCGTAATCCTAATAATAATAGTTAGAATAAATAGAAAGTATATGGTAACTGATTTGTCTCACTTGTTTGTAGCGTCCTGATTGTGACTCCACCCACTGGGAGGAGTCTATGAAACTAACAAGCTCTTTCTCTTCTTCGAATGATACAAAATTTCTTATAATTTTTACACCATCAAACTTGAATGTACATGCATTATCACCAGCAACCAAATCATCACATACAATTAATGATTGAGTGTCATCGCAAGCTGTTTGACAGAAAGGTTCTACTGCTAACGGACTTGGCTCTCCCACATTCATTTTACAGATTTTTCCACACTTGTAGCAAATGTAATATTGTATTTCATTTTGTGGCTGTTTCAAAATGGGTCGAGCACCTTTTCCTTCACAAAATAGACAGGTCCTCACTCCTTTGCAAGCACAGCTCATTCTACAAATATTGAGGTTACCTCACAAGTCAAGACATTTAACGAAGCTTTGAGTGCAAGCCTCTTCACTTGACGCCATTTTACACTGTGGGCGTGGTGACCACACGCAAAGCAAATTGTCCACGTGACCTTTCCTTGACTCAGCTCTCCTCCTCTCCCCCTCCTCCTCTCAGAGTCAGAGGGTTTAGGGTTAGAGTCTTCTCTCCTTCTCTTCATCCTCCTCCTCAGACCTTCTTCTCCCCAATGGCTACCAGGGCTAAGAAGAAGACGGTCCCATATACCAAGTAAAACAGCACATTTACAAATTTTCCTTTGATTACATTTTATCTTCTTTTCCCTGTGCAGAGCTAATGCCAGTGGAGTTGGTGGAGGCGATAGGGGCAGTCCCAATACAGGCAGAGCCATCACTTCACGTTTCAACTCAGTAAGGAATAGTAAATACATGAATGGATTCATTGTAATGTTTTTTTTTACCTTTTTTCTTAAAGGCTCCTCAGTATTCTCAGCATTTTGAGGGAATATATCGGAATAGACGTATGATACAAATTATGACATCGCTGATAGTGAGTTAGCTTTTTAACGAGTTGTGAGTGTTAATTAATGTGTGGGCGTGTATTTAGGGATGTGAGATTGAAGTTGAGCTATTGAAAGATGGTCTGATATACATTGGAATATTGAGGACTATCTCTCCACAGGTAATACATACCTCTTTATGAAGGACACCATTGGGCCCACACTACCTGTCCTTAATACATGTACAGTGTAGCCTCTTTATTAAGGACACCATTGGGCCCACACTACCTGTCCTTAATACATGTACAGTGTAGCCTCTTTATGAAGGATACCATTGGGCCCACACTACCTGTCCTTAATACATGTACAGTGTAGCCTCTTTATTAAGGACACCATTGGGCCCACACTACCTGTCCTTAATGCATGTACAGTGTAGCCTCTTTATTAAGGACACCATTGGGCCCACACTACCTGTCCTTAATGCATGTACAGTGTAGCCTCTTTATTAAGGACACCATTGGGCCCACACTACCTGTCCTTAATGCATGTACAGTGTAGCCTCTTTATTAAGGACACCATTGGGCCCACACTACCTGTCCTTAATACATGTACAGTGTAGCCTCTTTATTAAGGACACCATTGGGCCCACACTACCTGTCCTTAATACATGTACAGTGTAGCCTCTTTATTAAGGACACCATTGGGCCCACACTACCTGTCCTTGATACAGAGGTGTTCTCATTTCAGAGGTACTTTTGTATAGGCTTGTACCAATTGGGACATTACAAAATGTCCTCATTAAAGGCTACACTGCTTATAGTGTTTGTATTACTTATATTCACCCATATTGTTAAACTTCTCTCTTCTCCATTATTTTCTCATTAGATGGATTTTGCTATAGAACTAGCCAGCATAAAACCTCCACCTGGTCAGGTAATGACTCCAATACATGAGTACATGTACAGCGCAACAAGTTCACATGTCTACACATACCAAATGGTATTTGTGTGTACATGTGTACATGTATATGTACATGTACAGATATATGTACAGGTATATGTAGTTCACTATTATTTCAATGGTGAATTATTGTAACCACACTGATCATTTTCATTGTATATTTTGTTGCTTTATTGTTTCTGCTGATTTTACTAATTTATTTATTTATTTATTTATTTGTTTATTTATTTATTTATGTTTTAAGTTGATATCAAAGAGCTCCATCACACAGACTCTAGTCGTAAAATGGAGTGAGGTTGCTAGAGTAACAGCTACAGAGGATTCATCCAACACTTCTCAGAAAGGTAGAGTATACTAGCACTACTTACTATGTAAGCTATTTATAGTAACACTGGGTTCTATTTATAGTAATACTATACACTAGGTTCTATTTATAGTAACACTAGGTTCTTTTTATAGTAACACTGATCATGTGTGATGTGTCTGTAGTGTGATTATTATTATTATTATTATTATTTATTACTATAATTTATTGTTTTTTTTTTCAGATATTTTTAAGATTGATACAGATATATCCACTGAGACAGGACCAGCTGGAGCTCATTTGAATGGACATGGAGAGAGAAAAGAATTAGAAGTAACAAGACAACATTAACTCTACCTATTATTCTATCTCTCTCTTCCTCCCTCCCTCTCCCTCCTAGCGGTTCCAATTTGATGACACATCTCCATTGAAAGATCTTGATGAAGAGGACACTAGAAGTAAAGGTTGGACGGTCGAAGAAATGTTTGTCACTAACGAAGAAAAGGTAAAATAGAGAAGGAAAGGGCTTATTTTTGAATGAAACAGCTTATTCAAAATTTCTATTATTTAGTTCAATGTTGGCTCTACTTTCAATCCTGATATGCCTGATTATACGTAAGTGACTTACAAAAATGGTGTTGTCCTTTCATAAATCTCTTCAGTACACCTCTTGTTTTAACGGAGTCTGATCAGTCAAGAATTGAAAAGGCGAATCTGAAAGCTAGAGAGATCGAGTCATCTTCTCATGATGTGATAGAGGTGAGATATTATTGAGCAACTATTTGATCTCTCTCTCTCTCTCCTCTCTCTCTCTCTCTCTCTCTCTCTCTCTCTCTCTCTCTCTCTCTCTCTCTCTCTCTCTCTCTCTCTCTCTCTCTCTCTCTCTCTCTCTCTCCCTCTCTGTCTGTCTGTCTGTCTGTCTCTCCCTCTCTCTCTCTCTCTCTCTCCTCTCTGTCTGTCTGTTTCTCTCTCCCTCTGTCTCTGTCTCTCTCCTCTCTGTCTCTCTCTGTCTCTCTCTCTCTCCTCTCTCTCTCTCTCTCCTCTCTCTCTCTCTCTCTCTCTGTCTCTGTCTGTCTGTCTCTGTCTCTGTCTCTGTCTCTCTCTCTCTCTCTCCCTTCCTCCTCTCACTAGAATGAATGCAGCAAAGGTGAAGAGAGGAGCGAGGAAGACTTGTAAGCCAAAAAATTACCAGAACTACAGCCATTAACATTACTGTGGTTGCTACAGATACAGTGCCGTTGTCCGTGAAGAAATACCACAAAAGACTCTTGAGGATGAGGAAGAAGAGAGCCAATCACTAAAGTAGCTATGATCAGTTTCTTTATTATTATTTTTGTATTTTTATTGCTTTTTCTGAAGGGTCAAACGAAGTTTTGTCCGTCAATACGCATCAGCAGCTGCAAACTAATGGAAAGGAAGGAGATGGTGAGAAGGTCAATAATGTGGAGGAGGAGGAGGAGGAGAAAGCAAAAGACAAAGAGAAAGATATCCAGGATGAGAATGAAAAGGGACAAGGCAAGGAATGTTTAGAAGAAGGAGAGGGACTTTCTCCTTCTTCTTCACCTTCCACCGTCCCTTCATCAAGTGATGTGACAGCCCAAAGCAGTGATATCGATTCATCAGTGAAAGAACTCAAACCGGCCGCCCCTCGGCCTTTTAAGTTAAACCCTGATGCGCAAGAATTTAAACCTTTCACTCCGCCGGTAAGGGAGAGATAGAAAATGACAAGTTAAAAATAAATTAAATCCTTGTTTAGTCGTCTGCCCCTCCTACAAATCGTTTCTCTCGTCAGTCGAAAGGTGCCGGCCAGAGACAGCAGCAGCAGCAACGCTCAAATGTCTTCACACCACAAGATCAAACTGCACTGTATGGAGGTGCGGCTTATATGACTAATGCCACACCCACTATTAGATGTACGTCAATAAATGAATGAATTTTATTTAATTGTGTTTTTAGTAATGCAGGGACAACCTGCAGCTGGCCCTCTCACTTCACCAACCGGGCTTGTTAGTGTAAGCCACACCCAGTTATCATGCCCACACTTATTTTTATTTTTTGTAGATGATACGGCCAATGCATGGCTCCCAAATAATAGGTACGTCATTTAGTATTGTACGTGACTGTAGCTTCAAATGAAGCATACATTCCAAAGAAATTAACAACCATTTTTGACTCGAAATTTGGAGCTATTACTCTTTTCATGTATGTACATGTACATGTAGGTCACCAAGGCAACCAGTTCTATTCCATACCCACATCCCTCCCTGGTACTCCTAATCACGCTACGTTCAATCAAGCCGGAGCTATATTGGGGCATCCTGCTGGACCCCACGGGTTAGGAATGGCTGCCGCAGCCCCCCAGGGGAATTTAGTATATGTACCGGTTCCGTATGGACCACCCTATATACCAGCTGGACCCAGTAAGCATTTGAATATTTAATTTTTTTTAATCTTGATATTTTCAGTTCCTTTGTCGTATCCACAACCCCAGGGGGGTGGAGGGGGAAAGTGAAGTCAGTTCTTATCTTTTTGCTGCTGATATATCTCTTCTTTCAGTTGTAGGCGATTCTTTATATGCACAATCAACAGCAACTCCTAATTGTTGACTCCGCCTCTTTTGTGGTGGGCGTGGTGGACTTTTTCCGCATAATTTGTGCAGTCTCTATATATTATATTATGTGATAATTGATCTCCATTTCTTCCTTTCTCTCTCTCTTTCTCTCTCTCTCTCTCTGTATTATAATATTATTAATATTAACACTACATCAATATACACGTGCATCAGTAACATGCTAGAGAACCTCCGCCATACACAAATGATGCCTCTTTATAGCAGGCAGACCTCCTCTCAAAGTGTCTGTTTATAGAGAGGCTATGCTTAAATTGTAGCTGCTGACTGAGACCTGGATCACTATAGTTACCTACTAGAATGTCTTGTTAGTTAGTTGTGAATATACAGTAAGAGCCTTTAGTCTCTGAACTGTTAATGCTACCTTATTTGATTCAAAAATTTCCCAAGCAGTTTCATCTGCCCCTTCTGAACAAACCCCTTTAGACATAAGAAATTTATTTGAGATTTTGTAATGTTCATTAAACAAAAGTGCCGTGTTCATTAATTACTTGTTCGTTACATGCTGTCAATTGTCGATAACGAAAATGTATTTTATACATGTCGATGCCAAATAGAATTATGCATGTAAAAATATGAGAATAGTTATTATATAAAGTGTAATGTTGTTTCATTTTTTCTTTTTGATGATGTTGGCATCTATTACATCGTTATTTTCCATGTCGAGATCCTCCGGTGATTGGTTTTTATGAATCTTCTCTCCGTCAAACCAAAAGCTGAGATCCTTTCGGGCGTAACCCAAGTCTGCTGCAAACTTGCATAGAATTGGCTCCAGCGGTTTATCCTTTAAATGAAAATACAAGATGAAACGTTAGCTATTTAGTACAACTAAAGGTATAATTTGCAGTACTACAATTTGGCCATTTTGATTATCAATTATTAATCATTTAATTATTGGGTTTACAAACCTTATCTACGCTATACGTCATGAAGGTTTTTTGTGACGACTGGATTTTAATTTTGAAAGAAGAGTCTTTGCTTTTGGGGTCCTTTTGGTTTGTCGTAGGAGCTGATTTATCGAGAACAAAAGCATCTAATTTTAAAAAGACAGAAAATTCACAATATAATTATACTCAACTCTTTTACTGTTGCTACTTCTTACCTAAGATATCCACAGATGAAAGTTTTAGCTCCTTTGGTGATAAAGTGGTGTCAATGTCATTTGATTTGTATTGCAATAGAATTTGATCTGGAGATTTATTCAAAGTGTCAGCTAATTGACTGATGAGACAAGATAGTTGATCAGACTGAGAGAGAGAGAGAGAGAGAAAGGAAGAAAAAGGAAATTGAGTGACATACATCAATGTACTAGCAGGTGTGAGCTGATTCCAAGAAAAATTTTTGAGTCATGGCCATTTGAAAAAGTAGCAAATTTTTGGAAAAAAACATGTACTATAGTCCCTGATTTTTTCCAAAAAATGGCTCCGAAATGACCCCAAATTTTTATTACATTTTCTGATACATATTGATCTCCTTATGCTGTGTAGCAAGTTTGAGCTGATTCCGACTTCAATTTTTCAAGTTACGGCCATTTTAAGAAAATGAAAAAAATCTGAAAAATACCCTGTACTATAGCCCATGGTTTTTTCCAAAAAATGGCTCCGAAATGACCCCAAATTTTTATTACATTTTCTGATACATATTGATCTCCTTATGCTGTGTAGCAAGTTTGAGCTGATTCCGACTTCAATTTTTCAAGTTACGGCCATTTTAAGAAAATGAAAAAAATCTGAAAAATACCCTGTACTATAGCCCATGGTTTTTTCCAAAAAATGGCTCCGAAATGACCCCAAATTTTTATTACATTTTCTGATACATATTGATCTCCTTATGCTGTGTAGCAAGTTTGAGCTGATTCCGACTTCAATTTTTCAAGTTACGGCCATTTTAAGAAAATGAAAAAAATCTGAAAAATACCCTGTACTATAGCCCATGGTTTTTTCCAAAAAATGGCTCTGAAATGACCCTCAATTTTTATTACATTTTCTGATACATATTGATCTCCTTATGCTGTGTAGAAAGTTTGAAGTGATTCCTACTTTAATTTTTCAAGTTACGGCCATTTTAAGAAAACGCTAAAATTCTGAAAAATACCCTGTACTATAGCCCATGGTTTTTTCCAAAAAATGGCTCTGAAATGACCCCAAATTTTTATTATATTTTCTGATACATATTGATGTCCTTATGCTGTGTAGAAAGTTTGAGCTCATTCCGACTTCAATTTTTCAAGTTACGGCCATTTTAAGAAAACGTCAAAATTCTGAAAAATACCCAAGGCTATAGCCCATGGTCTCTCCAAAAAATGGCTCCAAAATCATCTCAAACTTTTATTACATTTCCTGATGCATATTGATGTCCTTACAAGCACTGATTAGTACAAATGCTGCATACCTCATCAATCGTTACTTTATGGAGGATCCCCTTGCACCTCACCCTAAGCGTTAGTTTATGCTCTGGACTACATACAAGACTAGTATCAATAACTGAAGTATTAGCACTAGTATTAGGAGTTACTGGTAACACTGGAGCTGAGTTTTTAAGATTATAAGAAGCAAATTCTGCTGCCCTATATATACAGGAAAATTATAATGAATGAGAGGATGTTAATCATTACATACTGCAGCAGTTTAATGGTGTTAGAGTCTGATGGATAATCATAAGATATTGTTGAGGGAGACAAGCTGTCATCATCATCATCATCTTCTTCATCACTAGATAATGCAAAATTATGCAGCTGTAAAAGTATTTTGAATAATTGTCCTTACGATAGAACAATTTGATCATCATCGCTTTTTTGCTTCTTCTTCTTGGTCTGCTTCATAGTAGAGGATAAAATTTCAATGTCCTCATCTAAATCATCTAAATCAACATCATAATTTCTTCTCTTTCGTCTCCGAGATGGTCCTTCTTCATAGACTACCTGATCTACCTCTTTGCACAACTCATCATGTACTGTCATGCTTTCTTCAGTTTCTCTCATTGAGGCTCCAATAGCAATTGGAGAAGAATAACCAAAAAAATCATCCTCATCGTCCGCCATCTTTTTTTATACCGGATGGGAACGATGACGTCACTTCCTTCAAAATAAAATGGCTGCCGGTAAGATGATGATAATTTTTTTCATTATTATTTTTTCTAAAACTTAGAAAATTCAGTAATAGAAGATCCCAAAGGTCATTCTGATGCCATTGTTGCCATTGAAAAGTTGTTGGAGGTTATAAAGAATAGTGAAGGTGAAAAATTAAAAAAAAAACAATTTTATTTTAAAGCTGTAATACATAATAGCTGGTACCATGATAAGACTCACTGAAGAAATAAAATCAGCTACAAAAGATTTGATTGAAATGGAACTATCAAAAGTGTCCGTATCATCAGGCTGTGAGCTCTTCCTTCGCTTTATCACGTTCGCCTCATTGGAACAATTAGTGAGGAGCAGTTTATAATTGAAATGATGTTAAAATTTGTATTGGCTTATTAGAAATTTGAAGACTGTAGATCTCTTTTATTGAAAAGAGGTATATAAGATAGCGAGTTGTTTAGTGTGACAAAAACACTTTCTTTTTACAGGAAATCTTTTTCTTCAAAAAGCTTTCAAGTCACGCGACAAAATTGCCGAAATTGGAGCACCTTTCATCAGAGACAACACAGTAAAGACCACACCCATGACCACACCTATTTACTTGTGTTTTACAGACAATCTTAGTTCACTCTCGCTCTCGTGTTGTCCTCAGATTATTGCAAGAAGCTGTCAGCAACGGAAAGAGAATTAAAATATTCATAACAGCCTCTAACATTGACAATACTGGGTGAGCCTTTATTTTTAGCAACTTGTACTAAATCTAGCATTTAGCAATTACGTTTCTATAGATGTTACTATAAATAACTAGCGAGACTTGTGCCAACTTTTAAAATTAAGTTTCTGTTCCTACTTCTCTCTCTCTTAGTATTACGATGCAGAAGTTTCTCAAGGAGTCCGGAATCGCTTCGAAGCTAATCCTCGACTCTGCAGCTGGGTCAGTTTGAAATAAGCTCCGCCTACTTGTTATTATATAATAACTTCCACAGGTATTTAATGGAGAAGGTTGATTTGGTAATGGTTGGAGCAGAAGGCGTGGCCGAAAGTGGCGGGATAATTAATAAAGTAACGAGAGAACTGGGTCACCAATTCTTTTATGTTTTGTATGTATTTTTAGATTGGTACTTATCAGATTGCTGTGATGGCGAAAACTCTGAACAAACCGTTTTATGTTGTTGCGGAAAGTTTCAAATTTGTACGAATGTTTCCACTAAATCAAGACGACCTACCAAATACAGAAAAGGTAGTTCATTTTTTATTATTATAATAATAATTATTATTATTACAAATTAAAATGGAAATTTTGTGGATTCTGCATTTTACATTGCTTGGCAATCAAGATGTAGAATTTTATAATTTAAATTTTTACAGTGGAGCAAAAAACATGGAATTCGCTAAAATTTCAGCGACATGAAGAGTGCTAATCTTTATCCTTCATTTTCTCTTCAATAGTATTCAAGTGTTGATTCAGCCATCACTTCACATCCAGTTATTGACTACACTCCTCCCTGTTACATAACATTACTGATCACTGATCTGGGGGTATTGACACCGTCTGCTGTCAGCGACGAACTTATAAAATTGTATATGTGAATCAATCTATGGAGATATTATTTATTATTCTACTTTTTTGATGCACTTCAATTCTTCAATGTATTGAAAATAACTTGGAGAGAATTCTCCATTTTTTATTACATTTTCTGATACATTGTACATGTACTTATGTTGTGTAGAAAGTTTGAACTGATTCAAATCAAGTTTGGATTCTTTATAAATTTTTTTAAAGTTGCTCCAAAATCAGGTAAAAGTCCCTGTACTATAGTACATGGTCTTGGGCCAAATTTCGCCAAAATTGGAAAGGAGAGAATTCTCCATTTTTAATACATTTTCTTCAATGAAAATGGCAATAATAACAATAATAAAAATAAGCATAGACATTAGTTCTTCCCTTCATTCAAATCAGGATAATCCCACAAAGAGTGTTCCACCTGGTCCGGACTGGTCACAGTGTAGGCCTGACCTTGGAAGCAATAGCGAAAGAAAGCCAAAATTTTATCGACTCCAACAACTTGACTTGCTATCTCTTCGACATAATTACCAAATAGAATATCCATCACCTCAGGACGAAGAGCTTTAAAATGCTCTCCTATCACTTGTACATCCAGTTTGACAAACCCGTGGGTATGATAGGAGAGTGGGATCTCACCTTTGATACCCTCGCAGATACTCGTGTCTTCCTTTTCCGGCGGAAACAGATCCTCCAAACCGGAAAATCTATTCGCCAGAAGTCTTGCGAAATAAGTTGTCGTTTCGTTAAAACCATACAGACTCTGTATCAACATATCTAGGTAAAGCCTTAGTGTGTACATTTGACCTTTTGGACTCGCAATAAGGTCAAACTTGTGGTCATGGCCATACACAGAATTCATGTGATAGTACATGTGATAGTCATGTGACCAGGTCGAGAGGGAGACAGAGGGAGAGAGGGTTTCAACGTAATGCCACGTGTAAGGAGGTATGAACAATAAATCTCCTGGGCCTACGGTCACCTGGAGGGCATGCGTGCGAGAAAAAGCAGGAAATTTCTTTACATCTGGGTCCCTAAAATTAATCCTTGATTTGTGCCAGAGCGGGTGGATCCTTGGAAACATGTAAAGGGACTCGTGTTGGGACGGAGACCAAAACGTGAACCTTTTGGTTCCAAGTATCTGTGTGAAAAGGTTATAGTCCTGATCAAAATGTCCGTGTGTTATCATGCCAGGAGATGAGATCCAGACATACTGTTTAGCAGCTGATAGGTCCTCCTCAGATCGATATAAGAAACTCTGTGGTGTAACGTCACTTTTTAAATTATCTGGTACAGGACCAAAGTAATAGTGACCTTTAAAAGTATCGTTGCAGCTGTTCCCGCCCACACAATCAAAGAAAAGGTCACTGCTCATGTTCTTTACTTTATATGGTAATGAGAGGTTCAGTTTTAAAGGTGACTTTGCGTCAGGGTCAAAGGTCAAATAATCGTCTGAACATTTCACAAAAGACGTCTCTTTAATCTTCTTAGAAAGATAGGACATATTCCACCTGGATAGAGCAGGCCATTTTGATAGATCACTAGACTCAATAAGAATTGGCTCATTGATCTCCACTAGATCATCATATGACGTCCATTGTACTCTTTTTGGACGACCAGTCACAACCCTGTCTAATGGAAAAGGTGCTGATGAAGAAGGTTCTAGAATAGAGAGTGTCTCTGTTTTACTGAGAGACGATGTAGAGCTACTCCATTGGTTGATAATATCAGCATGACTAGTTACAAACTCAACTTCAGCTAGAGAGACTTTGTTCATTTCAACGGAGTTTCTTTCACTACTACTCTCCTTGATGCAGCCATGGATTGGTGAGCAATAATGAGAAAAGCATTCATTACCTTCACACTTATCTTGATATTGCACATTAAATGGTAGAGTACCCCAAAAGAATGGGCTGGAGTTAATAATGGTGGACAATGTTCTGGGATTGTATCGAGCTAGTGAACAGTAAAGTCCAGCTGATAGAAAATGCGCTTGAATGCTTTCTCCTTGTCCGGAAGAGATAAGACTAGCTAGAGTTAAACCTTTATTGAAATGAGTATGATCTTTGTATGTCACTGATTGCAATGGGTCGCCTAAGTATTTCATTTGACCTTTAGGTTCTACAAGAAAGTGTAAAGATGTTTGCCTAATAGACGCCTCTTCTAAAATTGACGTTATAAGTGGATGGTATCTTTCTTTTGAAAAGTGCCGAGGGTTACTATCATAACGAGGTGATATACTTATAACGTGTAGCTCGTTAGTAGACCAAAACTCCACCCACTCTTTCTCTGATCGTATCAAATCAAGTGTCGTATATAAGAGACTTTCAAGATTTGATGTTTTTTTGGGTGTGGCATTCTCACACAATTGACCACACCTATCTTTGATTTGATTATCGACTGCTGCATTGTCTTGGTCAACATAGAAAACTACTTTCAACGTAAAGTTTCTGTCTGTCTCTGTTACAATGTCTTGCAATACATGGAAGGGTATTTCTGTTTCGTTGTTGCAGGAACATTGGAGGAGGAGGCAGAGTTTAACTGATGCTAAAGAGTGTGCTGAAGAGAAAAATAAATGAGAGTTTTCACCTAGTAAATAAAATAAAATAATAAATAAATAAATAGATAACAGACTAGGCTACCTGGTGAATGAGAGGACGAGGGACAACTTTCTGTTGAGCAAACTGGAGGAGATTCATTAGAAAAACTTTTTTCTGTAAAGAGAAAAATCAACAAAAAGGAACAAGAAGATTGAATATGCATTTTGGAAGAAGGGGAGGAGCTAGCTGGACTATTCAGCCACACCCTTTTTGAACGCCCACGTAGCTTGTAGGCGTGGTCTTTGTGGTAGAAAGAAAGATTTCAGAGAGGAGCCAAAATGTCACTATTTACTGCTATAGACTCGAAGTTCCAGGCTGATTCTAACGGATCCATTGCTACAAAACAATTCCTCTTAGCCTGCCGTGAAATACTACCAATATTTGGCAAGAATATGGCACAAAAAGTATAATAGTAATAATAAATATATTTCTAGACACATTGGGGCCAGTAGTGTTTGCTCCAGTGAAGAAAGACATTGCTGGCAATGTGGATGTAAGTGTACAGTTTTTATTGTAATCACTTTAAGTCCTTTAAAAGCGTTTGTGGGACAAAATGATGACCGATACTGAGAAATACATTCTCTTGTTTAACATTGTTGAAGCTGAAATGACTGACGGAACTCACACTGGTACTCACTCTTGCACAAGAGGACTCTTGTGGCTTAAACGGTATGCAATCACTCAATGAGACATAGCAACTAGTGAACATTGTATCATTCTATTAAAAGTACAGCTGTTAAAAGTACTGCACCTTTTTAATTTGTCATCAAACAAACTGTCAAACATTCTTATTTATCAGTCATTATGTTGGTGTGGATATCTTCTTTATAAAGATAGTCTCATTCATTTTCTATTGTTGCAGGGCTTTAGAATTCATATTCATTTTCCTGGATAATGTCCTGAAAGGAGAACAAGATCTAGTCAAGTGTGCTCACGCTGCTTATGATAATTCACTCAGGAAGTATCACGGGTGGATTGTCCGTGGAGTTTTTTCTGTAAGGAGCTCAGGAGAGAGAGAGAGATAAGTTTTCATTACTTTTAGGTTGCTGTAAGAGCTGTACCGTATTACAGCGACTTCATGAAGAGTTTGAAGAAAAGTGAAATAACAGACGAAGAGGTACTGGGACACATGAAGGACTCAAATGAAGCACTGAAATGTACTATAGACGAAATTAACAAATACTATGCAGCTAAGGGACTTAATTTTGAAGACACCGTTTAATTTTTTTACGACTGATTTTTAATTTGGACGTGGGCGTTGAATTGGGTGGGGCTGGTTTTAGGGCGTGGCTCAATGGACGTGGAGGCTGATTTTCTGACTGGGGCAAGTAGCAGGGATTCTTTGGAAGACTCTCGAGTCCAATTCACCTTTCCCCCGTCTGTCGACTTGGGGACTAGCTATGGGTCTTATCTTCACAGCAGGAAGTCCTCCACTAGAAAGATTCACCGTAAAAAGCCAGTAAATATCTTGCAGCCTTTACACCGGGACCTGGAGCTGCTTTCAGCATCACTGAATCAACTGTGCTCTCGCCTAAAGTCAAATGGGCAGACAACTGGAGCTATAGAAAATGCATTAGTAGGATTACAGCAACTTAGGAGTACGGTCCTGGCCACAGCCCCTGCTGGAAGTAGGGGAGAAGTTGTTCTTTATTTCTTGTTGCAAGTTGTGCAAGCTCTTATTTCAGTCGCACCAAATTTAGATGGAAGCTCTCTTCACCTTGCGAAAGACAAAGAGGAAGCCAAAGCTTTAAGGAGACTTTATCAAACAACTGAGGCAGGTAATTAAAAAGGATCATTATGGCATGGCGAAAGTTATAATTAATTTATTTAAGAACTTATTGCCACAAGAAGACATTGTCACAAACTAAAGGATAGACTTGATACTGTTGTAGAGGAAGGTAAGCACTAAATCCATGTAACAGTATTATGTGATTTTTGTATCCACAGCTGATTTGAAGCACTCAGAATTATCTTGCGAGCTCCTTGCAACCAAGAAAGCTTTAGCCGAAGCAAGGCTAGAGCTGCAACAAGAGAAGACAAAAGTTTGTGCCTAAATCTTATTACTTTCTATTACTAGTTAGTTGTAGGCTCAAACTGCATACTTGACATCAAGTCAATCACAGAGAGAACTCGGAAAGTATAAGAAGACCCATTTAATGCAGCAAAAAGAGAAAAAGGTCAGTGATTGTTAGGACTAATCAATAGTGT